CCCACTCGAAACGGGCAGCAGTCGAGAGCAACAATCACTCGACTAAACTACCAGAGGTGGTTCGTGGAAGCCGCGCTATCCCCTGATTCCCGAGAACAACGATATTCCGCGCAAGCTGGACATGATTCTCTACCCTGCCACCTCATCACCCGGCTCGCCTCGAGGCGAAAGTGAATCAGATCTGGCCTCTGCACCTGCCGCTGCCGCTCCTTGGCCTGCGCCTGCGCCGGCCGCCTCAGATCCTCGACGGCTCGCTCTCTGACCACTGGCGGGACAGATTGTGTCGGTGGTTGTTCCAGTTCGGCTGGGGGCTGATCGCGACGGACCCGAGCCTGCTCGGCGTGCCACTTTGCCGCGTGCTCTGGCGGGGTGGGCTTCGAGCACATGGGCTGCCGCCAGGCTGGCCTGCGGGCTTCCTCAGTCGATCTGCATGTTGGATGCCTCAGTGAACTTCTGACGGAGCGGACGCGCTGACCGAGCGATGCCAAGAACTGCTTCATGTCCTGTGCTTTAAGCTGGTAGCCGTTATGCCGCCAACTGCGATTGCTGTAGACCACCACGCCAATGTGTCCACGCGCGGTCGTGGCTTTTGCCTCCGTTTGCCTTTCGCTGTCGCGCTGGAAATCGAATGCCGCTTCCGCAATTTTGCGTCGGGGCTGAGCGTGGTCATCCCGCATTTATCACATGCCTTCCATCTGTCCAAAGACCTGCGCCCCCCTCCGGTAGCCGCTGCATTACCTTGGTCGACTTGGGGCAGCCCGCTTTACACAACAACTTGGTATCCAAACTTGGACATGACCCGGCAGCCGGCGGCTTGCGCCATGAGGCTCTGCAACTTAACCTTCGCCCTGTCGGTTGCCTCAACGCTGCCTAGGAGCAATCGTCATCGACCTGACTTGCGCTGGCCAAGCACTTCTCCGAGGCTGCGGCTCGTGGGCGGACGATTCGCCCTTCTTCGTGATATCTAGACCAAACAGTGCCATCGTCCAAATCTCGGGGAGACGTAAGACCCGGGTACGGGAGACTCGGAAATCCCCGACGAGGTCGTCAAAAAAATGACGAGGCCGAGCCTGCATTTTGACGAGGCCTCCCGCTGCAGACATCCCACGAAACTCCCCCTCGTCAAAATCCGAGGCGCGGTCGTCAAAAAACGATGGCGAACCCGAGTCCTGGCAAACCCGGGTCTTACGCTCCCCCGAAAATCGAGTTCCGCCAGTGTCCGGATGGAACTCTACCGGACCGCGCCGGCGCCGCCGCCGCGGCCCTAGCACTAGCGGGCTGGGCCCCGCTGCCCAATTCCACATAGTTTTTTGCAATGGTTCTCTCGATCATCGGCTTTGTTTCGCCCCCCGCGAGCCCAGTCGCGGCCCGCGCCGCTGTTGGGCCAGAGTCCTACATGTCGCGAGCGCGCGCGGCCGCGCGCGCCCAGCTCGAGGCCCGCGAACAGAGCAAGTAATCGAGCGACGCGGGCCTCTGCTCGCCGCGGCTGCAGGCTGCGCTGACGCTGGCGATGCCGAGTAGCAGGCGCGTGACTGGAAGGCGCGCCGCGGCCTCCTGCCGGCCCAAAGGCTCTGAGCCGGCCCATTTGCTGCCAGCGAGTTGAAGCCGCCAGGGCGCGCGTTGGAATTTGACCCAAAACTGCCGCGGAGACAGAGGGGGGGACAGGGAGGGAAGGAGGGAGGGATCGACAGAGACGGGCAGACCTACAGACAGACAGACAGACAGACAGACAGACAGACAGACAGACAGACAGACAGACAGACAGACAGACAGACAGACAGACAGACAGACAGACAGACAGGAGGAGGAGGAGGAGGAGGAGGAGGAGTCCGAGCGCGAAACCTGGTTTGGGGCCGGCGCAATCCAACAACGCTCTGCGTCAGGCCCCCGAGGACGACCGTCGCGTGGCGCCCGAGCCACCAAGCATCGGCCATCCCCGGGGGGGGGGGGGTGCGCCCGCCGGGGCCTTAGACTGACTCTGAAGTCCGCAACCCTGGAGCGCCGCCACGACCGCCACGAACCTGCCGCCACCGCCCGCCCGCCACCGCCCAGCGCCCATGCTCGCTGCAGCTTCAGGCGCACGCTCGCGCCAACCCTTGGCGCCCGGCCGAGGTGCCCAACAGCTAGCGGGCAGCCCCCCCGCCCGCTGCCCGGCACCGTCGCCGGCCGCCGTCGCGGCGGCCGCGCGCCTCGCGGCGCCCCGCGCCGTCGGCGGCTGACTGCCCCCCGCCCGCTGGCGAGTTGGCCGTTGCGCTAGCGGCGCCGCCTGGCGCCTCGCCGCCAGGCGATGCCGGGCGGCGCCCGGCGGCCCAGACAGGCAGACAGACAGACAGACAGACAGACAGACAGACAGACAGACAGACAGACAGACACACACAGACAAACTGGCAATGAGAGCGAAAGAGACAAAGAGAGAGAGAGAGAGAAATACATAATCTGAGAGAGAGAGAGAGAAAAGGAGGGAATAGGGAGGGAAGCAAGCATGATCGACCCAGGGGCCTCGAAAGGGATACTTATATATATATATATATATATATGTATATATATATATATACATATACATATATACATATATATATACCTATATATATATATGGAGATGCTCAAACAAACACAGGTAATATACCGTGCCGGGGACTGTGTTGTGCTGGGCAGTGATGAATCTAAGTGTGCCATGCCGCGATGAAATGTGCTGTGCTCTCTTGCGTTGTGGATCAGGTCGTTCTTGGAATCAGAATCCGGACCGAACGGGTACGGATCGTAAGTCCGAGCTGCCTGGGCGCATATCTCGAGCTGATCGCAATGGACCCGCGCGGGGCGCTCGACTAGCTCTAGGTCGAGATCTGCTCCAGTTCCGTAATGGGACGAACCAAGACGGGGAGACTCCGAACCGATGCGAAACGCACCGAGAGTGGACAGACCGAAGCTCGGCGAACCAAAGCGCCACGAACTGCATCAAGACGAGCCGAAACAATACGAACCAACACGAAAGCAGAACCGACCCGAATCGAAGTGAGACAACACAAACCAAAACGAATACGCGTCGACTCGCCATCCTGACACTGCGTGGCGTCGCCTGACAAGGGAGCCGCACTCCGAGGTGCCAGGGCTCCTCGCACAGAAGCACGGCAACGATTTGGCGTAACTTGCAATTGATACGAGCTGTGCTGCACTGTACAGCGTCATGCGGTGCTGAACTTTGCTGTTCTCTGTTGCGTTCGTTGTGGATCAACCATCCGTGGCACCCCAATCCTGTCCGAACCGATCTGGGTCCTAAGTTCAAGCTGCCTGCGCGCATGGTTCGCCCGAAGTGGCTGCAGTCGTAACGTGCGGGGCGTTCAAACGGCTTGAGCTGAAGATCCAACGTAGTTCCGAAGTGGGACGAACCGATCGGGGGGAGAAGCCGAACCGAAACGCACCCAAACGACGACAATACCCCCGCACGAAACCTCCTCAACTATGCGAAGCTTGCATTTCTCGAGAGGCATCCTCAACACATCCTGCAGAGAGAGGCTTTCGCTACAGGCGAGGCCCTCGCTCGAGACATCCTCAACAAATCCTGCAGAATAAGCGCTTCGCTCCAGACATCCCCAACACATTCTCATATTAGTGATTCGCCTGGGCGACCTGGACACGTGAGAGCCAACATTCGTTCGAGACATACTCAACACATCCTCATGTTAGAGATCCGCCTGAGCGACATGGAACAAGCGTGAACACACATGGGTCCCGTTCGACCCAGAGCGGAGCAAACGTGAAAACACGTGGGTCCCTTGCGCCCCAGAGCGAAACAAACGTGACATCACGCGGGCCCCTTTCGCCGCAAGAGGCCTCCCCAGGAGGTCGCAGGAGGCCACCGCAGGGCCCCAGGACGGAACGTGCGAAGTTATGATACGCCTGGTGTCGATTCGTTAGCTGTTTCTTGTTCTTGCGACCCTCCCACCTCGTGGGGGTCAGACGACCACATGTTAGATATCACCCTGGGACACATGAAAACACGTGGGTCCTTATCGCCCCAGCGGAACGAACGTGAAAACACGTGTCCCTTTCGCGCCCGACTGGATGAAGCGTGAACACACGTGTGTCCCAGTCGCGCCAGAGCGGAACAAGTGTGAAAACACATGGGTCCCTTTCGCGCCAAAGCGGAACAAGCGTGACAACACGTTGGTCCCTTTCGCGCCACAGCGGAACAAGTTTGACAACACGTTGGTCCCTGTCGCCCCCGAGCGGAACAAGCGTAAAACCACGTGGGCCCCTGTCGCGCCAAGGCGGACGAAACGTGAAAACACGCGGGTCCATCTCGCAGCAGAGCGGAACAAGCCTGAAAACACGTGGGTCCCTTTCGCGCGTGAGCAGAACAAACGTGAAAACACGATGGTCCCTTTCGCGCCAGAGCGGACCACGTGAGAAAGAGCATGTGGGCCCCTTCCGGCCCTCTGCGGAACAAGCGTGAAAACACGTGGGTCCTTTTCGGGCCAGAACGGAACAAGCGTGAAACACTTGGTTCCAGCTCGGAACCACCATGTTAGATACCCCCCTTTGGCGACCTGGGCAAGTGAAAACAAGCATCTCGCCTGAGACATCCTCTGAATTCTCCCACGAGGCCCCCACTGGAAACATCCCCCAACTCTGCAAAACCAGCGTTTCGCCGTAGACATCCTCAACACATGTATATACACCAAGCGTTTCACTAGGGACATCCTGAAAATTCAATTCCGCTGGACCTCTTCGACCTGGTTATTTATCCTGAAATAATTCAACCAGCCTCCTTCACTTCGAGGCTGGGGGTAAACTCTAAAAGAGAACCCTGGGCCTACGGCCTTCTTGGGAAACAAAACCTGACAACCATACAGACAGACCGATAAACATAATGAGAGAGAGAGAGAGCGCGAGACAGAGGGCATGAAAGAGGGGGGGGAAGGGGAGGGGGAAGGGGGAGATAGAGAGCGAGAGAAAGAGAAAGGGAAACAAGACAAACGACTCTCCCCCTGGGAGGGGACCGAACAAGAATATCTTGTGGCCGATAAGGTTGGCGGTGTGGCCTCGGGGGCAGGGCGGGGGCCGCGGCGGCAGAGGAGCGTGGACGCGCGCGCGGGAACGGCGGACGAGCAGATGCGTGGGGAGGATGCAAGGACGGGGTGGCCAGAGGGTGGGGAGGGCAGGAGCGAAGGAACTACAAAAGAAGGGGATCGAAACATGGGCAACGCTCGGTCGGAATCCGTCGCGCACTACAGAGAACGCCGTGACCTCACGCGTCCAGCGAACCCCACACATGAAGGAAGAGTACTGTGCACGCCGATTCTGGCCAGGCACCATCCCACGAAATGCGCCATGCGGACGCATTCAAGACGCTGCCGAGACGCCGGGAGCCTGCCCTGCTACTTCCGGTTCAGCCTGGCCCGAGCTGCGCGGGGGGGGGCCTGTGGGTAACATTCAGGGACCTCCACGAGGGGGTCCGCAAATTGTGGCTGGAGGCATGCTCGTGGCCCAGGGGGGATGGACCAGGGAAGAACGTCTTGGAAGAAGAGCCATGAGATCAGGGGAGGCGGCGTGCCCAGCCATTACAACCCACCCCCTACTCATCACCCCCGTCCCGAAACCTGGTCCCCAAGTCCCCTCAAGACCGGGACCTGGACATGGCTGGGGCGGGCCCGCACGCGCGCACTTCACGAGTCAAACGGTACCACGCGGGTGACACGCGCGCGCTGAGCGGGCACCACCCCAGTCCAGTAGCGCCATGTGGCACGCATGCCACAATGGCGCATTGTCACAACCCCTATCGTTACTTGCTGGCCCAAGGGGCCAAAGGCGTGCTAGAATCTCGGGTTTCTGCCTTGTGATTTGTATGCCACGCGCGCACGTGGCGGCCCCTGGAGATTTTGGGAAGAATAGCATCCTGGACAAATCCCAAGAGGGCTGCAGATAGCCACAATTGATTCTGGGACAGCCCCAAGAAATCCCGATCTGGCATCAACATTGCTCCAAGATGCTTCCAAAGGTTCCGAGATTGCTTCGCGAAGTGCCTCTGATAGGCAAGAAACATTGTTTGTCATTTATTGATGGCGTTTCGCACTTTTCTGCTACAATGGCTCCTAAGAGAGCTCCAGAAGCCTTCAAGGGGATCCAAGAAGATCGAACAGGCCTTGAAAAGACCCGGAGAAGAAAGGCCCCAACATGGCCTCAAGACGCCACGACAACCCAAGATCGCCCCACGACATCCGCAAACATTCTCAAGACCATCGAACACGGCTCCTACATTCGCAAGGGACGCCCATACAGCTCCAAAAGGTCCCAACCCCAAGCAAACCCCAAATCTGCCCCAAGAGTGCCGCATGCTCGGCCACACACGCGTCGAAGCCACACCACGGAAATACCTATATATATATATATATATATCTTGTGAGAAGAGCACAAGAATAATATACATAACCATTCGGAAAGTCCGCGCGGAAATCTAGTGTCGACGCTGGACCCCCTGTCGGCACCTCCAGCACCGATCCAAGAAATCCGAAAGGACCTCCGAACATCATGTTTCTGCAATTGTCGTACACTCGGAAATTGGTAAACTCAAACACTGAATCCCCCTGGAACACGCCGTGACCTCCCGCTCTGCGAGTTGAATATGGCCGCCACCGTAGGGACGTCTTGCACATACCTGTTGTGACCAGCTAGTTGGTCAGCTGTGCGTGGGAAGAGAAGGGAGGGGCCTCGCGCATTCCATCGGCCGGGGAAGCGGATTAGCGGCCTCGTGGAGAGCCAAATACTCCTTCCAATGGCCCGAAGATCTCAAGTGGCCCTAAGATGGATCCCAGTTGCTCTCGCTGGCCCAAGGAGGGCCAAGGAGGGCCCACATTCGCTCCTAGAAAACCTTCTTATGAAATCCGCCGACCCTGTCGGCGTGTGTGGGGTGTCTGTCTGGTCCCGTCGACGGGACGCCTTTTCTGTTGATCCTTCCCCGTCGGGGGTGAGGGAACACTCTCCCGTCGTCGGGGGGAGAGGAGTCCGGGGATTGAGGGAAATCGACCCACGTCGTAGTCACGTCGGAGGGAAGCCCCTTCCCTGCATCCCTTCCCCGGGGGGGGGGGGGGGGGGCAAGGGGGGGGGGGAGGCGGCGGGGGGTCAGATTCGCATCCTCCGTTTGCGGCTTCTACAGAGCGGCCCTCTGTAGATGCGCTGGAGGAGGGGAGGAGGGGGGGTCGCCACGACGGATCCGCAAGAGCGCTCCCAGACGGCCCAAGCCTCACAAGACAGCCCAAGAATGCCTAAGGACGGCCAAAGGGGGCCCCCAGACGGCCAAAGGACGCCGCCCAGGTACGTTCCCCCCTCGAGCGCCCCCGAAACCATGAAAAGCTGTTTCCAAAAGACCCTAGAATGTAAGAACGCCTCCTATTTCTCCTCCTCCTCCTCCTGCTCCTCCTCCTCCTGCTCCTCCTCCTCCTCCTCCTGCTCCTCCTCTGCCTCCTCCTCCTCCTCCTCCTCCTCCTCCTCGTCCTCCTCCTCCTCCTCCTCCTCCCCCCCACCCCCTGCTTCCCCTCTTCCTGCTCATCCTCTGCCTCTCCTCCCTCCTCCTCCTCCTCCTCTCCTCCTGCTCTCCTCAGATCCCCCCCCCTCCTCCTCCTCCCTCATCCGCCTACTCCACCCTTCTTACCCCCCACTCCTCCTCCTCCTCCGCCTCCTACCCCCCCTGCTCGTTTTCATCTTCGTCGTCTTCAGGGTCGGCGGCACCGGCCGTAAGGCCTTTGCAATCAAAATGGCGCCAAAATGTTTCCGCGGAGGAATGACCATCGCAACGAATAAGATGTGCGATTGCGTATGCTTTGCGTTCCTCACTAATTCGTTTCAAACGTCTGCGAGAAGGGCTCCAGAGGACTCCCGGAGGATCCAGGAGGCCTCTTGGGGCACCACAGAAGGCGCCCAAAGGCCCCCTGGCTGGTCCCCAAGCCCCAAGACTGCCCCAAGATGGTTCCAAAACGAACCCAGACTGCTCCAAGACGGCTCCAATACTCTCCAAAAGGCCCCTGAACCCTCCAATGGACGCCCAGATGGACCCAAGAGGCCGCGGCTGAGCTCCAAGAGTGACAAAGAGAGCCCCAACATGATCGATGCACGAACTCGGAAAGGGATATATGTGAGGCATGGCAACGTTTTCAAGACACCTAATAGGGAGACGGGCAATTGCAATGCTGAATGTATCGATATTGATGTACCGTGCCGAGGGATGTGCTGTGCTGTGCCGTGCTGAACTGCGATATGCCATGCCGCGATTGTGACCTATAGCATAGTGGATCGAGTCCTCCTTTGCATTCGAGTCCTGACCGAACTGATCTGGATCCTACGCTCGAGCTGTCTGAGCACATAATAGCCGCCCCAGAGCTAGTTGAAATCGAAACGTGGAAGACGTGGAATCAACTCGGCCTCACAATCCGACTCAGCTCCGGCAAGGAACGACACGACACGGGGCACAGGCTCACGGACGCGCCACAGGATGTGTCGGGGGCGCAATAGGGGATGCGCCAGGGGACGTGTCAGGGGACGTGTCCTGGACGTGTCAGGGACCTGCCACGGGACGTGCCAAAGCGCGTGCCATGGGGCGGCCAGAGGACGTCATGTAAGAGGACGTTGCAAGGGGCCCGCCACGGGAAGGGAAAACGCCTGGGGACGGGCAAGGAAACGCGACAGAGGACAAGCCATGGAACGTGCCACGCCGAGTGGCGTGCAAGGGGACGTGCCAGGGCACGTCACGCCAGAAGGTCGCAAGGGACGCACCAGGGGGCGCGCCAGGGCTCCAGGGGTTGCCCCACGGACGGGCGCGGTTGGGACTGCGACGCACTCTAATTACTGCGACAAGCGTTTCGCTCGAAACATGCTCAACAAATCCTCATGGTTAGGCATCCGCCTGGGCGATCTGGACAAGTGAAATCAAGCGTCTTGCTCGAGACGGTCTCAACACATCCTCATGCAAGACATCTGCATGAGCGACCTGGACACGTGAAAATGAGCGTGTCGCTCGGGGCGTTCTGCTCAAATCCTCATGGTAGACATCCGCCTGGGCGACCTGGACACGTGAAACCAAGCGTTTCGCTCAACACATGCTCAACACATCCCGCCTGGGCGACCTGGACACGTGACAACAAGCGTCTCTCTCTCTCTCTCTCTCTCTCGAGAGAGAGAGAGAGAGAGAGAGAGAGAGAGAGAAAGAGAGAGAGAGGCATCCTCAACAAATCCTCATGTTAGACATCCGCCTGGGCGACCTGGACATGTGAAACCAAGCGTTTCGCTCGAGATAGCCTCACCACATCTTCACGTCAGACATCCGCCTGGGCGACCTGGGTACGTGAAAATAACCGTTCCGCTCAACACATCCTGATGCTAGACATCCACCTGGCCGACCTGGGCACGTGAAAGCAACCGTCTCGCTCGAGATAGTCTCACCACATCTTCACGTTAGAAATCCGCCTGGGCGACCTGGACACGGGAAAGCACGCGTTTCGCTCAACACATGCTTAACACATCCTCATGCTAGACATCCACCTGGGCGACCTGGGCACGTGAGAACAAGCGTCTCTCTCTCTCTCTCTCTCTCGAGGCATCCTCAACAAATCCTCATGCTAGACATCCGCCTCGGCGACCTGGACATGTGAAACCAAGCGTTTCGCTCCACACATCCCCACCACATCTTCATGCTAGGCATCCGCCTGGGCGGCCTGGACATGTGGAACCAAGCGTCTCTTCTGAGACATCCTCAACACATCCTGATGCTAGACATCTGCCTGGGCGACCTGGACGCGTGATAAAAAGCGTCTCGCTCGAGACATCCTCACCACATCATCATGCTAGACATCTGCATGGGCAACTTGGAGGCGTGAAACCAAGCGACTCGCTCGAGACATCCTCAAGACCTGGGCACGTGAAAACAAACATTCCACCTCAGACATCCTCTGAATTCTGTTCCCCAAGGGATGAACGATCTATAATATAAAACACGTGCTTCGTTTGAGACATCCTCAACACATTAATTCGCCGGCCCAACGGGCCAGAGGCG